GGTGGTGGCGGTGTGGCTCGTCTCGCGGCGTCGCTTACACGGCGATGCGGGCAGTGCGAACGGCGGCGTGGCGAGTCGGGTTTCGTGTGCGACCATGGCGGGCGTCGGATTGTTGTGCCAGTCAAATCGGCCGTTGCTGCGTTCCGGCGAGCCGAGCTGCGGCGACGAAGCGGTACGGTCCAGCAGCGAGCGTGTCGACCCTGTCGATGCACATGGCGACGCTCCCGACCGTGGGCGCGACGAGGATGAAGCGAAAGAGGTGGTGCGCGACAGCGACTTGGGGCGGAAATCCGTGCCGAAGATATCGAGGTAGATGGAGCGTGTGGATCGGCTGCTCGACGACGACGATTCGGTCTGCGACAGTGCGGGCGTCGAGACCTGCGAGTCGTCGGTGGTGTTGGCAACCAGACTCGTCGCCAGAGGTTGGACAGGTGCAGCGTCGAACTTGGTGCCGAGCGCTTTGATCGATGCGAGCTGGAGACGTGTGCGCAGCGTGTGTGCGTACATCTCGACCTCACGCCTGCGCGACTGCTCGGACATGGTGGCGCGATCCGTGGGTGTGTGTGCGTCGAGTGTTGTAGTGGTGTGCATATGTGGAGGCGCGGAGTAGCGCGGGCGTGTGGATGTGGGTGTGATGGGTGTGATGTAGGTGCGTGTGCGGATGGTGGAGGTGATGATAGAGAGGGCACAGCCTGGGCGGACCAATCAAACCCGAATCGCTGCCTTTCCTTTCCTTTCCCTGCCTTGCCTTGCCTGGGTGTCGATGGGTGGGTGTGTGACAGATGCGAGGCCAACGCATGCACCCAAAGCCAATCCCCAAACCGAAAAAATTTCCAACCCGCATCCGACTCTGCATCGCACCCGCATCGCACCCGCATCGCATCGCATTGCCCTACTTTACACGAACGACGCGCGTTCCATCCCCTCCCTCCCGATGCACGCGTACACACTCGTCCCGTACCCGCCAACCCTCGCCTCGACGCGTCGCTGTCGCAATTCGTAATTTACGCGACGCGTCTCCCGTGTCCCCTCTGGAATGCCGACTGCTTGCAACTGTCTCACCGCCCCCTCCCCCCATCCTCACTCTGCCACACTCGCATGCTGGATCGATCTCCCAGCCCCGCGGGCTTGCCACCTGTGCGGCGCGTAGGGGATTGCTAAAAGTACATTGCTCTGTGCATGAATACAGCGCGCGATCACGCGCCCGGCGACCACCAGTCTTCTTCGTTGAGGTACTGCTCGTGCTCGGTGGCGTCGGCGTTGTCCATCCACGCGTCCTCGGCCTCATCCCCCCCACGCGGTGCTGCTGTCTCGGCCCCGTTCGCCGTCGTGCTACCTGCCTCTCGACCGCCCGTGCCGTTCGCGCCTACATCGAGGTACGACGACGGCACCGGTGCTGTGGACTGTCCTGCTGCTCGCCGGCCATTCGCAAGCCGTGGATCGGACGGCGTTGGGATCTCGCTCGCGTCTGTACGCGGCCGCTTGCCCGGGCGTCGGATCTGCTCGTCCTCCGGCGTCGCCTCCGCCCTCGCCATCGCCGCTGCAAACGGCCCTGTGCGGTGCGGCGTCGGCGCGAACTGTGCAAATCCTTGATGACTTGGCCCCGCACTGCTACTGCTGCTGCTACTGCCACCATGCGAGGCGTGCGAGGCGTGCACGTGGTTGCCGTTCCGGGCGACAGGTCGCGTGGGCACCGACGGCTCGGCTTCGTCGTCGCTATCCAAAGTGAGGTCGATCACATCGTTGGCGACCGCGGGCGACTGGCGTGCACTCGTGTTGGTGCTGCTGCTCAGTAGCTCGATGCGCTCCGGCAGCGCGGCGAGGGCTGCTGCTCGTGGAGCCTTGTGAGGCGCTGTTACGCTGCTTGAAGATCCGTTCCGCGCCGCCGGTGCTGATCCGCCATTCACCATGGGCGCTGCTGATGCCGCTGCTGGTGCTGGTGCCGCTGCTGCTGGTGCCGCTGCGGCTGGTGCTTGCGCGGCCTCGCTTGCTGCAGATTGGGGTGGCGGTGAGGGGCTGTCGAGCAACACAATCTCGTCCATCGGCGTGCGCGTGCCGTTCGACTTGCCGTGGCCTGCGCCAGGCTTGACATCTTCGTCGTTGCTATTCAGAAGCCGCTCCTGCAGCGGTGTTCCCTCGGCGGCGGGCGTGGCGTGCGCGGTGCCCGCCGAGCTCACCTTGCCGTCCGAGGTGTGCCACGATCCATCAGGCTCCACCACCACCGAGTCCTCGTCCTGCGGAACGCGCTTCAGAATGTCGTCGACGTAGCCGTCCATAATGAGCTCCTCCACCTTGATGTTCTTGTGACATACGGGGCACGCCCACGACGGCGTCTGCTCGTTGACCGAGAAGAAGCTGTAGGCGTCGAAGCACTGCACGTGCGAGCAGTGAATGGAGCGGCACGGTGTGGCGATGCGCATGTAGCTGAACGGACACTTGAGGCTCATGGTCGCCGCGCCCGCCTCGATGTCGTCGTCCTCGGCCTCCCTGCGCATCCTCGACAGCACGTCGTCCTTGGTGCGGAACTGCTGCGACTTGAGTCGCTCCACCAGGATCTCCACCGTGGTGATCTCGCAGATGGCCGCCACGAGCACGTGTCGCTTGGGCGCATTGGTGTAGGTCAGATCGATGCGATTCGGGCGTCCATCGCGCAGCGCAAGCATGCCATCCTTGTTGAGGTTGGGTGGCGGTACTCGGCCGACGTTCTTCTTGCTGCCGCGCAGGTTGGTCGAGAGAGTGTGGTTGTTGACGCGCGCCTCGCAGGTGAGCGGGAACTCGACCGTGGCGGGATTGCGTCCCGAGAGCGATGCTGCATGCGCCTCGACGGTGGTGCAGAAGAGCCGGAGCTGGTGCTTGGCACCCTTGAGCTGCTCCACCTGCTCGGCAGAGAGGTTGACAAAGAGCGTGGCGTTCTTGCGGTCGTTTTGCGTGGGTGCCTCGGGACACTGGACGATGGGCGAGACAAAGTGCTTGATCTCGTAGAAGGGCGACGGCTTGAAGTTGATGCGTGCCGCACCTGCTGAGCCCATGGGTCGCGACGACGGAGCGCCAGCGCTTGCTAGAGGAGAGTAAGAGGACGATGCAACGTTTGAGGCCTTGTTAGCAGGAATGCCTCCCAAACTTTGCGCGGGTCCCGCATACGCTCTTGCGGCGTTGATGGCTCCATACGTACTTGTGCTTGATGTCAGCCTGTTCGACGTTGCGGAAAAGGGCAAGAAGGTGGCGGAACAAATCGGGGTTAGCTTGTGTAGCAAGGCGGGGCAAGGCGGGGCAAGGGACGATCAACTTACCCGGTGCGGTTGTAGGACTGTGCAGCGGCGACGTGCTGCATGCCCTTGTATCTGCCGATGAGCGTGCGAAATTTCTGGTATCCTCTGATGTCGCCCTGATTCTTGCGTTCTGTGAGCGAGGTGATGAGGCGATTGATGATCTCGGGCTTGTTGCCCGAGAGTGCCAGACGGCCGCAAGCCGCCTCTGGTTCGTTGTTGACGTCCTTTATGAGCGCCTTTGCCTGCGCAACGGTGAGGGATCGTATTGCGTCGGCCAGCAACTGGAGTCGCAGAGGGTCATCGGGGAGCAGGAGGAGGAAGGTGAGTCAGCATGGTGGCAAGATGATGGCGAGCCTTCGGGATGGACGCAACAGCGTGCGCCGGAGGTGGAAAGACGTACGGCAAAGTCTGCGAAGCCGCTGGCGGCAGGATCGGCGGCCATGGCGTGGTGCAGGGCATGAAACTCGAGGGCTGTCTGGCGGTGAAGATGAGGTGGAGGTGGCCGACGCCTCGGCAGCTCGAGTATGAGAGGAGCGCCTTTTGAGTGGGCTGGGCAAAGTGCGCGCCTATGATGGAGATGGCGGCATGAGAAGAAGAGGGAGAAGGTGGAGCGGAAGAATGTGGCGGGATCCACAACACCCGCAGCTGAGTTGCGGACGAGGTGCGGATAGCGGATAGCGGAACTGATGAGGAGCACCGTCGGGCGATGAGAGCGGGCGGAAGACGGCCGACAGCATTCCCGCAAAAGCGCGAAATTTCAGCTTGGAAGCCAGAACCTAACAATTCTCGACGCCGCGGACTCAGCGAACTCAGCTCAGCATTCAGCAGAGCGTGCGGAAGGCAGTCGACTGCATCCTTTTCCCCTCAGTTCCAAATTTCATCACTCAGCATTCGAACGCTCGCTCGGCATTTGTCCACTTTGCAAGGCATCCTCGGCACACGCCCCCACTATCTTCATCTAGTCAGAGCTGATGAGCGTCTCGTCTTGACATTTCTGAGACGGCTGTGAGCATCTGCATTGGAGGTGGTGGTGAATCTACCTTTGAAAGACCGAGCGAGCGCTGTCGTTGGCCAACTTGGCGCCAAACAGGCTGGTGCGCGGCGCAGGTGCCGCTGCTGGCACAGTCACGCCCGCCGTCTTGTCCTTGGCCTCGGCGTCGTCCTTGTCCTTGCCCTCCTTTGCCGAAGCAAACGGAGACGTGGGGTCGTTGACCATCTTGAATCTGACGAGCTCGAGCGACATGAGTGCATCCTCGAGCGACGAGTGGCCGAGGCTGGTGCCGTTCTGAATGATCTTGCCCAGATGCTTGGCGGTCAGGTCCCGGAGCGAGGTGCGGAAGGGGAAGCCGCGCGCATGCGGGTACAGCATGACCGTATCCACCACCTTGTGGTGCACGAGTCGAATGGCGCGCAGATCGTTCTCCAGTCCGTGACCCACGAGGATCGTGTCGGGGCCGACGAACCTGGCCATGGTCTTGCGAACCTCGTCGAGCGTGAATACCGCCTTGGCTTCGTACTCTTCCGGCGTGATGCCCGAGAAGCGCGTGTTGTAGTCGACAACTTCGGTGCGTGCGCGCACCAGCTCGTCCAGGATCATCTCCCCCTCTTCATCCACCAGCGTCAACCGCGTCAGCGTGAGCCCAGAAGTCGTGTAGCTCAACTCGCAGTCGAGCGCCACAATCTCCAGAGGCTCGTGCGCAGCCTTGCCGTTGTCTTGCACCGATTCCACCAGCTGCTCGGTCGTGATGAACGCTTCGCGCCGATGTAAGTCGAGTCCCGCAGTCTCCTTGAATACGTGCGGGCCAAAGCAGCAGCTATCGTCGCCCAGCGCACTGCCACCGATCTGCTTGTTGCAGCACGTCCACACCTGCACGCGGCCCTTGATCCCCGGCAGCTTTTCGAAGCGTCGTTTGCCCCAGTGGTATCGACACTCTTTCGGGTCGCGCGGGATCCGCTCTGTGCCCGCCTCGTTCATCTCGCCGCCGACGGTGAATTTGCTGGCGCACCGCTCGCACTCCTTGACCTCGCCCGTCGCGTCCGGCTTGCTGCTCCCCTCGGCTTGCCATTCGGGCGGAATGGTGGCCGTGTACTCAAACTTCTCCAGCTGGTCGACGGGGCATACGAATCCGGCGTCTTCCAGTCTCCTGCGATCGAGCTTGCCAGATCGTCGTGCCGCAGCCTCTTTGCGCTTCTGGTCCACCTGCGACGCCGTGCCGGTCTCGGTGCACTTTTCCGATAAGAAGCGCATGACGATCGCAGGCAGGTCCGCAGCCCCACCGTGACTGCGTGCTTCGGTAGCAGCGGCTTGGGCAGCGGCTTGGAGCGCTTCCTTGTCGCGCTTCTTGAGGCCGACGAGGAGCGTGATGCTGCTGCTCTTGTAGCTCGCCTTGTTGGCCTTGTGAAAGTGCTCGAGCTCCTGCGCGAGCGCATGGTCGCGGCAGAGGTGCTGCCCGCACGCCGCCACCACCGCATGCGCACTCTGCAGGATGGGCTCGTACGCCTCGAGGAAGCCATTGTAGAACGCTTTGAGGCCATTTTGTCTCGCAGAGAGCGGGATCTGAGAAGAGGACGGATGCTCTTTGAACCCGATCGTAGGAGGCTTGATGCCGACCAGAGACCATTCGCTGCTGTCCTTGCTGCTCGCTGCAGTCGAAGTTGCGGTCGACGAGGTAGTAGCGGGCTCGGAGGTACCCGCACTTGTGCTCGCAAGCTTGGTTGCGGTATACGCATTCTTTGCCTTCTTGGAAGGTGGGCCGGAAACACTAGTTGCGGCTGCTGCTGCTGGCGTCGTCGCAGTCGTTGGTGTAGATGAGCTAGGTCCCGCCCTTTTCAGTGTGTTGGATACGGCTTGACGCTGAGTATCTGTGCCTGATGCTGGCAGCCGACTGCTGGCAGCGGTCGCTATAGCATTGCCTGTGCTCGATGCTGTGGGTGGCAGAGGCTTGTGGGAGAACGGACACAGCGCTCGCTTGGACTCGCACTCGCCGTTGGCATGATCCGGGCACGGCAGCTTGGCCAGCAAGCCGAGTGACTTGAACATCGTCCCTTGCGCACAAGCGGGAGCACAGCGTTGATGAGGCACGAGGTGATGGTAGCAAGCAAGGATGCGTTGCCGAAGCGCGCAGCTGCAAATGAAGGAGTGGAGGACGCACACGGACACAACTTTCTTCTGAAACATCACACCCGCACTTTTTTTCTTTTTTCCTCTCTTTTTTTGGGCGCCGCAATTCAGGGTCCAGTTTATTCTGGCGGGGGACCACACTCACTCTTTCAGGAAGGGTTGACGTTAATGAAAACGACATGCATTCGGAAAAGATCAGAGACGATGCGATAGATAGCGACAAAGAAAAGAGCACAGGAATGTACGGTTAGGATCGACTCAGGCTCTTGCGCGCATCTCGATGTTGAACGTGGTCCAGAGAGCCTCGAAGATGGTCATGCCAAAGAACCTCTTTGCGGTGGCCGGCTGCCACTTCTGCTGGTGCGAAGCAGCTGCCATAGGACAACCTTGGGCCTTTTCGCCCTTGATGGTGCGGGCGGGGATGCGTTCGTATCCGTACTGTTCGCCATGCTCGGTCTGCCTCACGCCCGGCAGATCCCTGTTGACGCTTCCGGCCATCTCGCGCAGATCGAGCACCTTGCCGCCAAAGACGTTGAGCATCAAACAACAGCTTCCGGAGCCGATCAGGCTCTGCACCACGTTGGAGGTGTACTGTCGGTTGCGTTTCTTCGATTCGTTGCGACGGATGCAGAGTGCCTCGGCGAAATCGCGGTCGGTCATGTCGTCCTTGAGCTGACCGTGCTTGAGGCGCGCAGGGAACCAGCGGTCGATCATGTCCTGATGAGGCCGGCACATGGCTTTGGGATCCTTCTTCCAGTCGGCCAGGTGGAAGTCTGGGCGGAGCAGGCTGGCGTCGTGTTCGATGACGTTCATGATGCTAAGGTCCTCGAGGTCAAAGATGTGGCCACGCGCGCTAAACACGGGGAAGAGCGGCGAGTAGAGCTGCAACGCCATCGTCGGCGCAATATTGAACGCCCTCGAGAGGCCCACGACCATCTTGGATGCAGCCACCTTTCGACCCGAGGTGTGGATGATGCCATGCGTGGCGAGGATGTTGAGACCGGGACAGGGGCATCGACTGTCGCTATCGGCAGCAGCAAAGGGTGTGCCCCACTCACCCTGGCTACCGATGCCTTCCCAATACGCCCAATCACGGATCCATTCGTTTTTGGGCTTGCGACAGTACAGGTCGTGGTGTAGACGCAGCTCTTCGTTGTAGCCGGTCAAGAAGTTGTACACGTGCACGCCGCGGCAAAAGAGGTGCGTCAGTGGCCACTGCGCAAACGGTGGCGGGCTCGTGGGCGAGAACGCAGGAGGCACGCAGTTGTCCGGCAGCGGAGCGATGATGTGGAGCTTGATGAGCAGACGGTGGAACATGTTGAAGACCGACATCCAAAAGTCCACGAGGAAGATGACAGCGAGCGCAACGTTGACCATCACCTGCGGACGGTTCTGCTGCATGAGCTGGAGGGTGAGGCGCACCATCGACGAGTCGTCCTTGTGCATCGTATGCGAATCGTCCCGGCCCCAGTGCTCGCGGGGCTTCATTTTCGAGATCATGATCGGCGGCGGCGGCAGCGGCGACGTCGACGGCGGGGAGGAAAGGCTGAGAGTGGCCCTGAGCAAAAGAGGGACACGTACGGAAGAAAGCAAGGACCTATATAAGTGTGAGCCCGGCAGGCATTGCTACAGGACGTCTGGTCCGGGCTGGTGAAAAGCCGGGAGCGGGCACGAGGCGGTATACAAAGGCTGTTGGTACATGCAGGCACCGGACGAGCGCACGAGGGGCGTCAGGAGAACGGGAGGCACTCCACGGGGACCGTTGCCACTCCTTTGGTATCTGCCTTGTTCATTTCTTTGCCGAGCTTGCCGAGAGAAGGCTTCTGCCTCGCCTCGAAGCCTGATAGCTGCCCACCACCGCGAACAACACTGAGACCCTGAAAGAAAAAGGCAAAGCCACACTGACGGGCCCGCATTGGTAATGATGCCAAGAACGTGCGAGTACTCGAGTTGACGGCGGTAGGTGCTGGTCAAGTGGCAGGGCAGGGCTGGACGGCAAATCTATCCCGCGCCTGTGGTACGTGGCTGCTCGTCGATGTTTGCTGCCGACAAAGTAAGTTCATGGTGCGATTTCAGACTCAGCCAGACCATGCGTTCCTGAACTCCAAAAAGCCGCCCACGTCGTATCGCCATCCCTGTTCTCGCGCGCACACACTTGTCGATCTGTGGGGCTAGACGATCAGTGAAGACTTGACAAAAGTATACAGTGTACAGCATCTCTGCTGGCGAGAAGGTCGGTGGCCAGCATCGAGCCAAGGATGACGGCTACGGATGTTTTGTGCTGGCGCGGGAAGGACGGAAGAAGGCGCGCCAGAGCGTATGCGAGTTTTTCCCGGCCCTGCAGCTCGTATGCAACGCGGGACGTGAAATCTTGGTTGGCGCTCGTCGGTGTTGATGCCGGTGCTGCGACTGGATGCGGTGTGCATGACCTCTCGGCTGGAAATTCTCTTCGCCGCGTGGAAGAAGGAGGCCCGTTTCAACAGCAGTAGTAACTGCAAGTCTGTCCCTCCAGAGCCGCTGTCCGTCGCCTGCTGTCGGTCGTCGCTGGCTGCGGGCCTACTCAAAGAACGAGGCGTGGTTGCAGATACGTCCGTCGCACGGCGTCTTGACGTGTTTGACGATCGTCGCCGGGTTCGCCTCGGTGCCAATGCGGCGCCTCGGATCTGTGCCAGACCGATCCCCCGCGAATCCACTCTGCACCGGCTGTGCGCCGCCCGTCTGCGCAGTAAAAACAACGCACAGTGTGAATGGCACGATGAGAAAGAGTGCACGCATCGTCGTATGTCTGGGAGGTTCACAGCCTCCATCCTCTCTGCCCCGGGCGCGATTATATAGTGCAGTCTGCGAGCGGCGCTTTCGGCGCTTTCCACCGCCTTCTGCGAGCATTTCATCTGCAATCCCACCATTTGTCGGTTGTCGCCATTGGTCTGCCGCGCAAGTTTTCATTTGGTGTTGGCTGAGCCTCATCTTTGGCGGTGGGTGTGTGGGTGGGAGGATTACATGCCAAGCCGGATCACGCCAGCGCCCAAGCAGCCGAGTCCAAACACGACGAGCGTTGCGCCCCAGACCGGGCGCGCCTTGACACCGGCCGGCAGCGGCGAGCGCCGCAAGGTGCCCATTCGATATGCCTCGACAAACGAGTAGGCGCCCAGACCGCTCATCGCCGCAAAGCCGGTCAGTCGACATGCCAGGCAGTCGGACCCGGGCAGGCGGTTCGGCTCGAGTGACGAATGGATAGCGTACTTGTAGCGCAGGGGGAAGAAAGAGCAAAGGTTCGTGTCAATCACGCTTTTCTTCACAACACAGTCCAACGGTAGCCTCCCGCCCAACACACTGCTTTCGCCCTTGGCACACCCGCTTGGCAGCGCACAGGACACCCACGGTCCTGGCTTGACTCGGAGCGACTGGACGCGAAAGATACGGTATGCGCATGTTGAATTGGGTGTAGATTCGCAGATTGGCATGCTGCATATACGCTCTGAAAAGGTGGTGGCACGGTGGAGCAAGGGCGAAGCAGCTGTGGGCTGAGCGGAGGTTTAGACAGAGCGCACCTTGTCCTCGATCTTCTTTGCCTCGGCCTTGGCGGCGTCGATGGCCTGGCTGCCCTTCTGTTCGACCTTGTCGGTCACCTGGGCGCCCTTCTCCTGTGCCTTGTCGATGCCCTGTGCAGTCTTGTCCTTGGCAGCCGCGAATGCCTCGCCTGCCTTTTGTTGCAGCTTCTCAAACGTCGTCTGTGGCGAAGAGCTAGTGGCCGAAACGTTGGCGGAGCTCGATGAGGGAACCACGCGCACACCGGGAACAGCGACAGGGTTGAACGAGCGCTCGCAGTCCGTGTATGCAGAGCCCAGACCAAAGCCGGTTCCGAGCCAGACGGGGAATGCACGTCCTGTATAGCGCAGAGTAAAAGCTGATCAGCGATTCAGCACGGCGGCGCGATGGACAGCGCGATCATCACTCACGTCGGAAGAGCAACACCGAAAGCACAACACCGGCCGAGAAGCCGATTCCGGTCTTGACTACCGCATTGCTGATGCAGAGGTCCGTCTGTGAGCGGAAACGGGAGCAAGCGTCAACAAAGTCTGCCAGAGCGAGGATCGTGCTGCGGGTGAGAATTACCTTTTGCGAGATGATGTCTTCACTCGACACCTTCTTGGTGGATGTGGAGGGCTGTGTTGATGCCATGATTGCAATGCGAGCGACGAGGGAGATGGTGTTGATCTCGATGGCCGGTGCGAGGTGCCCAACAAGGTGGAGATCGCATGGGCCCGCCTGCCTTTCGCTTTCTTCCGGAAACGCGCCTCGCGAGCCCTTCCGATTGGCAAGTCTTCCGGCGCTTCGATCGTCGTCATCGCGCTTTCCGGCCGGTATCACAATTTTAGGTGATCAGATGTTACGCCGTAGTTGTCTGCGTGACGAAATTCGGCGCTCGGCGATTTCATCCCACCGGCCAAATTCGACAGCCGTGACTCAAGCGGCCCACCAACTCTGTACCGGCCCGACCTTGCTCTGCCGCTTCATGACCCTCTCGGTGCAAGCTCGGTGGTTCGAATCAGCCGCAGATCTTGCGCAGTGCCCCCCTCCCCCCCACAATCCAATCGTGTGGGGACACTGCGCATGGTCTGTGCCCTTTCTGAAAGACTCGACACAAGCGCGAAAGCATCAGCACCGCTGAACATCCCACCACCACTTGGTCTTTCTTCAAGTCGAGCCTCGTACGAATCGCACAATGACACCGCAAGATGGACGCACGTTCTGGTTCCGCGATGCGGTGGTGTACCAGATCTGGCCAGCGTCATACAAGGACAGCAACAACGACGGCATCGGCGACATCCAAGGCATCATCTCGACGCTCGACTATGTCGCCTCGCTCGGCGTCAACACCATCTGGCTCTCGCCCATGTACGACTCGCCGCAGATCGA